AATTTGTACATGTTTGTATTTTATCCTTGTTTTGAAGACGTAGCCATACAAACGCAAACATAGTCAATGTAACAGCAGCAGCAATGGGAATTTTTTAAAAAAATTCTATTAACAAGTTCATGTAGTTAGTTAGTTCGAAGAAATACACTTAGGCCTCCAGTGCCAGTGTCTCCAATGGTGATCGAACCCACGACTGCCGGTCTGACAAACTAGAACACTAACCACTGAAATTGTAGCAATGTGAACCAAATCGTTTTCTGTTTAGTATTTAACAAAAATAATAACCTTTTAAGGCCTTTTTTATAAACAAATTTTTATTTTATAAACGGTTTATAAACCAAATTTTTGTATGGAAATTTTGTTTTTTATAAAATAAAATTCTCTTAAGACCAAATACTGTTACTTCCAATCTATGTATAAATATGATATTGCCCACCACTGCAATACAAACAAACATTCAGCCACTTTAACACACATACAGACATTATCAATACATAGACATAGATATTTGAAAATTTAACTAGAATAACGGACAACGAACAAAATATAAATAAATTCATTGTTAGGCCAAACTCGTACAAACCAAAATTGGACAACAACCTATGAATATTGTTAAAATATTTATACAAGTTTAAATATGTTTTTCATATGGACCAAGCCTGTACGTTTGTCTATCTGCATGCATATGGGTTTATGTGTCTCATTTTTCACAATGATTGCGAAAAAAAAAACTTCTCAAACTAATTCAATTACCAGTAATTTTATACCCACCACTTCATTTTTAAAACAACAACAATTTCTGTCGTTGTCGTCCAATGGCCAGCTATTTTCAACAATAGAAAAATTATAACATTTTTAATGCAAAACACGCTTATAAATTTTTACTTGTAACCAAAAAAAAAAAAAAGAAATCACCATAGAAAATGTTGTACAACATCTAAAACAATACTTATTTATTACGCGAGCATAAAATGTAAATTCTATTAAACAATTTATAGGAAAATGTTAAATAATTACATGCTGTTCTATACACATTCAATGTAGCTGTTTAAATTTCAAATTGTATGTTCTTGTTTCAACACAATTAGGAAAGTATAGAAACTAAACCAATTATTAAATAAAACATTGTTTTATTTTTTTCGTCGACAAGTTACGAACATTAAGTATCAGCATATTTATCAGCACTACAACGCGTAGTATACAAAATTTAATGATTGACTACTAAATAACTAACAAAATAGCATTTTTTTGGAGTATAAAAGGGTCTTTAAAGTACTTAAATAATATAGGATTCCAGGAAATGGTTAATCTTTTAAGAACCGGATATTTGATAACTCATATCTAATACTATGCCACCAAAATCCTGATAATGACTTGTACTTATTCAACAACTTACTTTTCGTACCGTTTGCATTACTTAGAAGGAGTTTAGTAATGACATACAAATAATATCTCAGAAACAATACTACCTACTTAACTTCGTATCAGTAAGCAAGCGTTATAAGTACTTATATCCCATGTCAAACCCTTGTTAAAATAATGAACTAAAATGCTATTGTGTAAGTAAATTTTAGCATTTTAACCAGAGTAAGTAATTTTTGCACTCGTGAATATTATCTTATTTATTTCTCTTGTTATACAGATTATTTTCACGAGAATTATTTTTAAACTCGCGAGAAGTATTTTTATTTCAACTTTTAATTTTTTATGTTCACTTCATGAGAGATATCTATGTATTTTGATTTTTTAATTCATCTCACGAGAGTTATCAAAATGAATAGAATTTGAGTAAAACTCACTCACGGCAAAACCGGTTTTATGGCGGTGTAAAAAACAAAAAATTTATGAAAAAAATGTGCATGTGTGTAGAAATATGTTTTTGACTTTATATACAATATTATAAAACTCCCGATAAATTCATTTGTACTCGTTTCATAAGAGAAATGTATTTTCCGCTCTATAAATTTCTCGTGAGATTTATATTTAAACTCAGGAGAAAAAAGATATATTCACAATAAAGTAAATAATTTATTTCGCTCGAATTAATATCTTTTTAGAGAGAAATCAATTTGAACGCTCTCCTTACTCTGATTTTAACCACTTTTCAATGTAAGTTTTTTCTGCGATGTATTTATTTGTGTATTAAACCTATCCTTCAATACTTTAATACAATTTTTTTACATTTGCATTAATTTTTATATTAAAATCGGTTAAGAACTTGTTTTGGAAATGAAATTTGAAAAACTTACTATATTATGATATAATATCCTTGTTAATACAGATTTTTCTCACACTTGACTCAAGGGGTTATTAATATATTTAATGTTCGACACACATTTCAAAAAACCATTTCATGTCATTAATGTTTATTTATCATGAAGTAGTAAATACAAGCAGCAGCAGCAACAACAACAATTTTCCACATAAAATCCGCTTTAATAAACGTAAAAAACAAGTGCCACTGTTGCCGCTAAAATTACAACAAAAATTGTTAAATAAATAGCAAAAAAGACGAAACTCATAAAATCGACATTTTAACGACAGACCCATTATAAATCCTAGACCGAACTAAAAAATAAACATACATGCGAAAAAGGAAAATATAAACCCAAAAAAAAAAAATCATGTCATATACACACGCAAAAATTTAAATTTTTATTACTTACACTCTTCCTCTACTGTAAACGTTTGCTAGATTTACAGGCTAAAAGTATCATTTCGTTTATATATATTTGGCCTGATAATAGGTGCGGAATTCCATAAAACTTGTTTTGTTTGCCTATTATCCGAAAAACGTAAAAGAACCCCTAAATAAATGTGAGAGGTTGATAATTAAATTCTATGATTTATTAAGCTTTTTGTAAAAAAAGGGACAGAAAATTACGTTTACTTAGAGTTTGTGTAATTTTACAATATTCGCTTGTAAATAAATATTATTTTTGCTTCTTTTGCAATTTATGTATAATTTTTTAAGGCTAGAGAATAGAACTAAATGTGTATTTATATGAATTTTAGTTTTTTGATTACTTAAAAAGTTTATGTTAATTTGATGTGAAAATATAAAAAGGTGACCAACTTAGCATAAAATTTTAAGCGAAAACAAATGTTATGACTAGTTCCTAGAGTCACAGGCCGATATCCTAGGAAAGGATAAACACATCTTTTATTTTGTAACATAAACGTACTTGAACCGATTTTGGATATTTAAATACGGATCATTGCATTTGCTGGTTTTCTTTTCATTAAATTAAATTATTTGGTACACATTTCTGGAAGAGTAAACTCATATGGTAACTCGAATTGCTCACTTAAAAATTGTGCCTTTCACAGTAATTGAAAAGGTGAATTGCGTATGGCAAACACATGCAAATAATAATAAAACACACACACACACACAAACACTTGAATAATTTCTCTTGGTTAGTGACTTTATTAGTGTCATTAAGAAATGTGCTTCATTTGCTTTTTTTCGTCTTCCAGTTGTGTTTGCTTTCATTCCTTGCCACATTATTTCAGTTCTATTCTATTCTAGTCCATTCCATTATATTCATTGCAATCCCATAGCGACCAAGGCGGAAACGTACAAAAACACTCAGACTCCAGCGACAAATAGATAGTTAGATAGATAGTGGAATTAGGGTAAAATGTGACTATACGTATTTGTAATTGGAATGTGAGTGGTTTCTACATAAGCTACACCAGGTGCAGTACACACTGTCCAAAGGATGGTGTGATGGACGGACATACGTACGTACAGACTCTGTATTGTAAATAAGTAGTAATTTGAAACCGGTCACATGGTGCGCTGAGTATGCAATTTGAATGAAAACATGAAGATAGAGAAGAACGAAGAACGATGGACTTGTCTATTGTTGACAAAATTTATTAAACTATGGTGGTTTTTATAGAGCAAGTTGCCGGTTTGTTGGCAATTGGCAATAGCGACCAGCAGCAATAAAGGAAAATGCTTTAATTACTCTTTCCATAAATTTCAAAAATAAAGGAAATTTGAAAAAAAAGAAACAACTTAACGACTTCTACTTGTTCTTAAATTCTAGTTGAACATGAGTTTATGAAGTTTGGGTCTTATGCCGACCATAGGTTCAATTTTCGTTTATGTTTTTTTTTTTCTCTATACCGTGACATTAATTAAGGTACGTTTGTATGAGTATGCTGTATCATCACGGAAATATTTGCCAACTTGCAACATAATCTATTGATTATGAACTACTTGAACGCGGGCAACTATAACTATGTATGTGTGTTTTTGTCGCCCTGACAATAATAACAAGCGAAAAAACAAGAAGAATTCCACTTTTATTTGATTTATGCGTGTGTACGACGCTATCGCAATTGTATTAATTTTCCTATTTTTGCTGGTTTATCATCTCGTTTAATGTTCCTAAGTAGCTGATTTCGCTGAGATTTGGTTTTTCTTTTTGTGCTGCTTTCTGTTTCCAAACATTTTTTGGTAATTAAGCTTAGATTACAAGAAAGCAATGTGCGTGCGTGTCTGAATTTTAATAAGTTCACAAAAGAAAATTCTAGCAATCATTTTGCAATAGGTATGATGAAAGAGGAGTTTGTTTCGAGGTTCAAAGTAAATGGAAACATTAAGATTATTATTAATAATTCTTCATCTATTGAGCCAATTATTATTTGTAATAATGTAAGTGTATGTATGCATTCCATGGCAACCTTAAGTTATTTAACAGAGTAACCAGGAAATATGGAGGAGTATTCAATTAATACAACATTTTTGATAAACTTACCTTTTAGTGTAGTAAAGAATAAGAATGTAAGGTAGATGGGGTCGGTCATAATCTATTGTCGTTTTTCTTTATCAATTTGGCACATGCCAAACAGTTTTATGTTTATTAATTTTTGTATTTTTGTCCACACTCCATCCTACAATCTTAATAATCCTGCTGTTAAGCATGAATTCATTTTCTATTGTTTGTTTATGTTATTTGATTTCCTTTCTTTGTACTTATTTTCAGATTATCCACGCGTTGAAGTTGGTCCAGAGAATCCACTGCGTGTGGAACGTGATCGTACTGCCAAATTGGAGTGTAATGTTGATGCTAAACCTAAAGTACCTAATGTGCGTTGGACACGCAATGGTCGGTTCATTAGCTCCAGTCTTACTCACACAATACATCGTGTAAGCATACAAGATGCTGGCAAATATACATGCTCGGCCGACAACAATTTGGGTAAAACGGGAGAGCAGGAACTGATATTGGACATACTGTATCCACCCACTGTGGTCATTGAGTCGAAAACACGTGAAGCGGAAGAAGGCGATACAGTTAATATACGTTGCAATGTCACCTCTAATCCAGCACCCATAACAGTGGAATGGCTTAAGGAAGGTTCTCCTGAATTCCGTTATTCCGGCGATGTTTTAACGTTATCTTCGGTGAGAGCTGAAAACGCTGGAAATTACATTTGCAGAGCCGTAAATATTATACATTCACATGGTCAAGAGAGAAGTGAACGCATTGGAAATTCTACTGTAGCCTTGTTGGTACGCCATCGTCCCGGTCAAGCTTATATTACACCCAATAAGCCGATTGTGCATGTTGGAAATGGTGTCACCTTGACATGTTCGGCAAATCCTCCCGGCTGGCCCGTTCCCCAATATCGTTGGTTCCGTGATATGGAAGGTGAATTTTCGGCCACACAGAAAATCTTGGCTCAAGGTCCCCAGTATTCCATACCCAAGGCACATTTGGGCAACGAGGGCAAATATCATTGCCATGCTGTTAACGAATTGGGTATTGGTAAAATGGCCACCATAGTCTTGGAAATTCATCAACCTCCTCAGTTTTTAGCCAAACTGCAACAACATATGACCCGTCGTGTTGCTGATACCGATTATGCAGTAACATGTAGTGCTAAAGGTAAGCCAGCACCCACCGTGAGATGGTTAAAAGATGGCGTGGAGATTCTACCCGAATTAAATTTGTATGAAGTGGTAACAAATCCCGATCAAGGTCCCAACGGCATGGTAACTGTTCAGAGCATGTTGAAATTCCGCGGTAAAGCCAGACCCAACAGCAATCAATTGGTGCCCAGCGACAGAGGTCTTTACACTTGTTTATATGAGAACGAAGTAAACTCAGCCAACTCGAGCATGCAATTGCGCATTGAACATGAACCAATTGTTTTGCATCAATACAACAAAGTGGCTTTCGATATACGCGAAACCGCTGAAGTGGTTTGTAAAGTACAGGCCTATCCCAAACCAGAGTTCCAATGGCAGTTTGGTAATAACCCTTCACCTTTAACCATGTCTTCGGATGGTCACTATGAAATCAGTACCACTACCGATAACAATGATATATATACCTCCGTTTTACGCATTAATTCATTGACTCACGCTGATTATGGTGAATATACTTGTCGTGTTGTCAACTCATTGAATACTATCAGAGCACCCATACGTCTGCAGCAGAAGGGTGCGCCAGAAAAGCCCACCAATACACGTGCCACAGATGTAGGATCAAATTATGTTACTCTAGCTTGGGATCCAGGTTTCGATGGTGGCATTAGCAACACTAAATTCTTTGTCAGCTATAGAAGAGTTCCCATGCCCAGAGAGGAACAGCTAATACCGGATTGTGCTACTCTAGCTACCAGTAATACAGAATGGATGGAATTCGATTGCCACCGTGATAATCCTTGCAAAGTGACGCCTTTAGATCAACATCAAAGTTATGCCTTTAAAGTGAATGCTTTGAACACCAAGGGCAACTCACCTTACTCTAATGATATTTCGACCACCACAAAAGTAAGCAAAATACCACCTCCTCTACATGTGACATATGATCCCAATTCCCGTACCTTGGGCATAAATGTTGGTGCCACCTGTTTATCATTAATTGCTGTGGTGGAGTCAATGGTAAATAGTGATACACCCATGGCGGCTTGGGAAGTTATAGATCAAGTAAATTTGCAATTGTCCGGTAATGGTCCCACCTTTAAAGAAACCGTACTGGATCGTTTGATTGCTCCTCGTCGCAGCACAGCTGGCAGAGCTTTGGGACATTCCGTTAACGACGATGATGATGATGGCATGAATTCTTTGGCTTTGGAAGATGAGAACAGTCCTACCGTACGCGTCAAATTATGTCTGCGTTCCAATCATGAACACTGTGGTGATTACACCGATGCTGAAAGTAAGTTTTACTCCTTACTTAGATTTTATAGGTTAAGGAGAAAAAACTAATTTAAAATGTTTTATTTATTTACTTTAATTTACTATTTCTACTCTCTGTGCTTGTGTCTGTTTCAGTTGGTCGCTCTTATATTGCCGAAGCATCCGCCTTGGCCACCCCCACCTTAATCGCCATCATTGTTTCATGCATAGTTTTTGCCTTATTTGTTGGCTTACTGTTGATGTTCTGTCGTTGCAAACGCAATCAATCGAAAAAGAGTGCTGCTGCCAAGGATTACGAAATGGATTCTGTCCGGCCGTCCATTGTTGCTGCTCAACAGAGTCAAGCGCCACCACCTTACTACCCAGCAAGTGGTTTGGACAACAAGGCTCTTGAACACTCTATGGATTTGGCATTGAGTATGGAGGAGCAAAAGAGTGCCTTGTATGCCACACAAAATGGTTACAGTTATCATCCCAGCACAGGTGTGGTTGGTGGTGGTATCGGTATACCCGGACATACGATACCTGGCAATGAATGTAAGTACCACATACGCACATACATACATATATATGTATTTAAGTAATTTTTCACAATTGTTGTTCGTTTATTTATTATAAAAATTTATTATTTTTTCAACTTGCGGTTCTTTGCAAAACAACAACAAAAAATTAGTGAAATATTTTTTTTTCAATTTTTGTTTACGGTTGCGGGTGATTTTTCATTTTGTGGTAAAGTGAGAATAAAAAAACAACAAATAAATAAATGTTGCGAAATATTTGTTACAATTTGGTAATATTTCAAATATTTACACTCAAAAAAATTAAACGTACAAAAATTATTATTTGGTATAAATATATTGATCAATCAAAGGATTATACTAAACTAAAAACAAGTTGAAAAAACTTGAAATTTATCAGAAAAATTAGTTTTTTATTTTTTTTTTTTTGGAATTACTTGTTTATTGGTGAATGCATTTCTCCGAGTGTGCTTAACATTTTTAATGGTCAGTCAATGGAAATCATTTATCACAGTATCCGTGTAATACCTTTAATATTACAGTGGTGATGTTGCCACTTTTTGTTTGTATTGTTCGTTTTTTTTTTCTTCTTTTCTGCACTTTTTTGTTTTGTTTTAATTTGGTCCTTTGGTGAAATTATTGCATGTCCATGTTGTTGTTTAAATTTTATGCTGAAACAGCAGTTTGGCTTTTAATTGTTAAGAATCAAGGTGTAAGCGAAAACAACAAATCGTACAAAATCATTCATTCAATGTCCTTCGTTCTCGCTTTATGTCATTTGGATACCATCGGTCTTGCCCACCTTACCCGCCAACCAGACGACCATATTTAAAATAAAAGCTTTATGCCACATCTACTCACTCATTTATTCAGTCATTCACGCACGCACTACCAAGTACACACACGTAAAAATTAAGCTGTCTCAGGTATACAACTGATGATTACAATACAAACAAACTCTGTAGCGTAATACTTAAAGCAAATACTCCTTCTTCATCTGCCCTTTACGCAAACAGACTTTCGAAACCATTGGCACCTTAGTAAATGATTGGGTAGATTTTGTGGTTTTACGCATTTACAACAATGTTCAACAACAAAACGAAAAAAGAAGGAAAACAAAAACACCAGAACGATTCATTATTAATTGTTGCTATTGTTTATGGATCTGATATACAGCATTTTTTTGTGGACGCAATAGCTTTTTATTATTTATTCTTGTTGTTCCTGTTTTATATTGCCTGAATTCGTACGTTTCCTTCTTGTAATCTGTCATAGGAGGTCATAATGTATTATAACTTTTTTTATTTCTTCACATTTCTCTTTTACTTAAAATTTTATGCATTATTATTTTAGTCCACAAAATCCCCCCCAAAAAAAAACTAATATTATAATTTCTTGCCATATCTGAAAATATTAGTGGATTTATTAGTCAAGATACGAAAATCTTACTAAGATATAGGCAATATATCGGGAATATATCATAATTCTTATAACTATACTTAATAGTTTAGGTTTCGAACACAGATATCGAAAAGAGCGTGTTATCAGAATGGATGGCCTACTGCAAAACTCTCTTTTGAGGGTGGGAGAGTGGCAACAGAATAGATCTCTTGCTGGAAAACAGAAAATAATTATTTGCTTATCAATCAAGTGAGATGTTTTTAACAAATTTCCCGACAATTCTATTCTTTTGGAAAGTGTTACAAAACACTTTCCAACTAAGCCTTAATACCCCTACAATGTAGGGTAAAAAAATAATCTCAATTTCAACCAATTCTCCGGGGCTTAAATTGTATTTGTACGTATTTGTCTGCGGTTGTGTTGTTGATAATAATGTTGATTATAATTATAAATATAAATACAATTATAATTGCCAATAAACAAATCTAATTTTCTTTCTATATTATCCAAGCGTTTTTTTTTTTTTTGCTGGTCGTATAACATTAATAATTATTATTGGTTTTTGGTCAGTAATTAAAAATAAACTGAAATGTTTGTTACGGTTAATGATAATTTCGAGGAAGTTATATTGGCCACTTATGAATTAAAGTAAAAAAGTACTAAAAACATGAAATAAAGTAATCCTTAACCAATTGGGAATACATACATACATACTTAAAAAGGAAAAATATTTATAATAATTTTCCATGAATTATGGCGTGCTTATTGAGAGATTTTGTGAAAAGGACTAATTTTATACAAATATTAAATTCGATTTGTGTACATCGATTTGTTCACATAATTTTAAACATCATTAGCTTAAAATAGAAATTTTTGCGGCAAGCTTTCATTGTCAATATTTTAGTTTCTTTGACAATTTTAAAACTTAAATAACAAAAAATAATAATAACTTTAATGCTGTTAAAAACATGCTTATTTTATTTCTTCTTATGGATATTTAATTGCATAATTGTAATTGCATTTGCTGTTTTCAGTATCTGAAGTTTAAAAGTTTTTTTGTAAATATATTTATTTTCCCTTGTTTTCAACGTCTTCTTTAAGTATTTGACTTAATTCTAATTTGAAACTAATTCATGTATGGATTTTAAGTTCAAATTGTTAACCTTCTTAACACAACATTAATTATTAGGGCATGTTAAATATGTGGAGCACAGTTTTAGGGTTTCCATAAACACATTTTTACTTACTCTAACATTCAGACATATGTACATAGGTTTACATATTATAACCACATTTGCAAAATTAATTTTCTGTTAACAGCTTTTGCAAAATCTTTAGCAATGCAATCTTAGCTAGAATCCCTATTTTATATTACACCAGCAGACATTTGAAAACTGAAGTGTGTGGTGAACAGTAGTCACATATAAACAACATAAAATGATTAACGTCATGCATGTTGTTTTCAACATGAGTTCATTTCATTCATAAACAAACTACAACAACATCAAAAAATGGAGCAAACAACTGCCCAGAAGTTTTACAAACTATTTAATGGTTGGCTGACTTGAGTTTTGTACTTTTTGTAGTACAAAGAGGAAGAACATATCAGTGTCCCTTAGTCTTCCAGAAATAACTTATTATAGCGTCAATTGTCCATTTCATCAAAATTCGTACAATTTTTTTTTAATTATTAGGGCATGAAAGCCATATTAACATTTAATGTTGGGTAAACTAATCTGTTAAGAATACCCAGCCAGAATTGCAGGGTGTACATTTTTTTAAAGTACATAAAATTCATACAACATGTGCAACATGTAAATGTGGGTGAGTGAGTGAATGAATGTTGTGCTTTTTTAAGGTTGCATCACGAAGGGAAATGTAAAACATTCACCCAACAAATACATTAAGCCAATTAACAAAAGCAACAATCACATTAGTGCTGCAAACGAAAGAAAATCAACAAAAAATGGTTACAATGACTTCAAAATGCTCAAGTGTAAGCGAAAAATAATCTCAAATTTTGTAGACGAATTCGCAAATTAGCTACACAAATAATAGATTATAAAACCGGTGAGAATATATAGTCGGTCATGACCGACCATATGATACCCTAAACCAGTGTGTGTGTTAAAAATTGGGATTATTTTTAACAATAAAGTATTTAAGTAGTTTTTACCTTAATTCTGAAATAGAGAAGACATATGGGGACAAGAGTAAATATGGGCCTATTCTTAAAAATTTTCATAGAGAGATTTATGTTACCATTAAGGTTAATTACGCAGAATTTCGTCGTAATACTAGTGTTTATAAGTGAATTATTCATCTCCAAGTTATTTTCTTAAGGGAACTATGTATGGGGCCTAGGGTTAAATGAGGTCCTATCATTACGAAAATCGGCAATATAGTTTAGACTTATATAAAACAAAGTCTTTATGATTTTTGTAGAGATACTAGAACATTTAACATAATTATGGGATCAAAAGCCCTATTTGGGGCTACGGTTGTATGGGAGCTAGGTGCAATAAATAATAAACCGATTTTAACCATTTTTGTCCCTTTGTCCCTGTGTCGAAAGAAAAAAAACGTGACAAATTTCTTCAAATTATCTTGAAAATTGCGACCAATAGTTTAGGTTTACATGGATGGACGCAGCTAAATCGAGTCAAAAAATGATTCTGAGCCGATTGGTATAATTTAAGTTGGGTATAGGAGAAGAAAATTTTGTGCGTCACAAACATCAACACAAACCCAATGTACCCTTCCCACTAAAATGGTGTAGGGTATAAATATTAGCACACTAGTCACACTGTAATTTTTAAATTGTCATCCATGCTTGTCTTATAATCGTATACAAATATCAAAATCCTACTGTAAATTTATTAAATTTGCAAGATTTTGAAAGTTGCAGCTGGATTTAAAGTATACCCTAAAAGTATGCTATAGCAAATAAAATTCTCATTACAATGACAATTTATTATCATCTATAACAATCTATAAAGAAAATAAATCTATTGGATTTAATTTATCATTATAAATGTTTCTTTTTTCGCTTAATTTGATTTAGCTCTTCTGCAAACTTACAAATTCATTCAAACTAAATATTTGTCATTTCGAACACTCATTCATCTATTTATTGTATCTCTGCGAATACACACAAGTCTGACAACATTATCTGCTGCATTGAAAGTAAACAGCAGCATTTTATAGAATAAATTAGTTTTCGAGGAATAGGACAACCACATTGACCAGTTGTTAAGTCAGCCACAAAATCCGCGCAAAGCAAATTTATGCAAAAACTGCAACAAAACCACAATAGCAAATAGCAACTCTATTTTAACAAAACGAAATATTGGTTTAACTAAACACAATTGTTAATGTTTGTATTCGATAAGACAGAGATTTTATTTTAGTTTTGTTAACTGTCAAAAGACAGTGTTGCATTTGGATTTACATGATTTTGTAAATGACCAAAAAATGACAAAATTAAATTTGTTTAAAAATCTAAACAAAGATTGTTTAAATTTTGAAAAAGAGCTAATTTTTGTAAATTCCATTTTTAAATTATCTTTTATTATCTTTTAAAACATGTTTTTAGTTTGTTGTTGGTTCTCTTTTTTA